ACATCAAGTGGTCAGGCTTCATTCTGGGGATTCAGAGTTCCTCAGGATAGGTTCTGTAGCCAATTACCTAAAAATCCTATGAGATTAAGGGCCAGATTTTCTTTTGTGTGTGTAACCAATTATATATTCTAGATGCAGTTTGATGAGGGTAAAATATCAATGGAGTATTTATAGTGACAGGAAGGGTTGTAGGACAAGGACAGGAAATGATGTTAGCAAACAAGAGGTTAAAAACATAATGACTCTAGACCTGAAGGAACACCTGCTTTCAAATTCCCTTGGACCATTGTTTTTATTACTACTCTTTTCTTCTCCTGACCTGCCTTTCCACAGCTATCAAGCTAGCAGCTATAAGAAGAAAGGGACCAGAAAAAAAGCTTCACAGATCATGAGACCAGATCAGTTTAACCTGGAGATGCAGGCCCCATTAGATGTTCACCTTGGAGATGGTCAGGAGACCCGCACAATCATAGGGCTGCAGCTTATTGGTGACACAACTAGCAGCCAATAAAGTTTAATGTCTTTGTTTTCAAATCCCAGTCATAGAACTTATATTGACCCCTATTCCTGGCACCTAAGGAAGTCTTTATAACCAGAGAGGTCTCCCTGGCATTCTCTGTCTTGACCTTTCACTAATCAATAAACAATGACTCTTCCTGATTCACTGGTCCCCTTCTTAAACTTGACCAGTGGGCCTCAAGAATGCTTTCTACAGCTTAGGAATGGAACCCCTTCAGTCCATTCCTCAAACTCCTGTCAGGTGGAACAATAAACAGTGGCTGGTATGCTCCCAGCGTATCCACCTGTATTGTGGGAAGATTGGGCTGAGGAGCTACGGGCTGTCCCCTTGTCTGGTGACAGTGTGGTAATTCAGGAAAAATATCAGTATGGTATAAAAAATGGCCTCACAGGAGTTTGAAAAAGATGTTTATAATACATAAAACATGCCTCAAACCATATGAACAGGCCAAATTCACAAGAACCTCTCTGTGACAAATATATCAATTCACTGCAAAACAGAACAGTCCCCCTCCTGCAGAACTACAGTCAGCAGTGGCTGTCACATCTGTAGTCAGGACATTGCAATGACTGGGTGTGTAAACTCAGTTAAGTGTGGAGGTGAAACAGTATGTTCAAAGTAAGTGCAGGAGAGGGAGAGGGGAGCAGAAGTTGAGACTTCTAAGAAAGAACAAAGAATTCCATGACCAGGGACATATTCATGAGGATAAGAGAAAGGAGGGTAATTTGAAGGGCTAAGGTACCTGAGGATTTGAGAAAAGTTGACATCAAGAGAACAGTGGGAGGGACTTGTCTCCTGCATGGGAACTACACGTCCTCCCCATAAACCAACAAGAGTGAAGACATAAGATTCAGGGTAGGCCAGAAGTTCTGTTCTGTTTGTTTTGTTTTGTTCACTTCAATTTTAACAAAGTAGGAAGTAGGCCTATCAAATAAGATTAGAAAGGTATTAGGTTGGGAACATAAGTGGACAAGATCATAGAGCAGCATTTCTTTTAAAAATAAATCCAACTTTCAACCAATCAGAGTATATTTCCCCAATTAGTGGGAATTAGTGGTCTCTTATTACACTGGATTTATGAACAGGTTAGGTATACAAGAGACTTTATTCCCTATTCTCTATTTTGGCATTCACTTCTTGATGTGCTCCTTCACCTAACTCAAGTTATGCTGACATGATCCTTGACTTCCCATGGAGAAGTGTTCATTTTAACTGGCAGGCAAATGATATTACACTCTGAAGGCCCATCATGCTAAGTGACCATTAAACCATTACACTTAAGAACTGCCTCTCAAGACAGAAATTCCAAGTGCTTCACACAGCATCACTGCTTAACTATCAGAATTTTATAGACAGGGAAATGTCATCACCAAGCTCACATGAAATCTTCCGGTTATAAACAAAACATCTGTGGCTGGTTAGCTCGGGTGGTTCATCCATGAAGTTAAATGACCAAAATCGTGGGTGGAATCCTTGAAAAGCCCTGACAGTCTGTTTCAAGTCCTTTATCTGCAGCTATATTAGATGAGAGACCTCACCCATGGAGACACCCCATTCAGAGAGGATGTGGCTGCTTCACCCCATCCATCGGCCTCCTCTCTATCCCTCTATGTTCACAAGGCTCTTCTTTTTAAGCATCCAGTCTTTCAAGTTTTTCCTTCTCCTTTCATTACTTTTGTTTCCATTCAACCCCTCCAATCCACTTCAAAGTCTGCCTCAATACCCACTGAAGTCCCAGTATTTTTCGCAGCTCACTCTAGACTCTATGAATATAGCTGAATAACAACCTTCGGAATCTGTATCACATCATCTGGTTCAAAACTGTATTCAACTTGAGACTCTAAGCTGCCTGAGGGAGGAACCACAGAGATAGCCCAGTAAGATGTAAAAAGGTGATTTTATTCCTATTTGAAGAGCAGTACTTCCTAGCTGGGTAATTTTGAGTTACACATCTAATCTCTTTTGACATTTGTTCTCTTTTGAAAGATAAAAAAGCCTTACAACCAATTCTCTGCTTTATACTTTTTAATCACTTTGATCTTTAGTAGCTCCCAAGAAACACTTGAATAATGGAACTGAATCCCATGAATAAATACAAATCTATAACCAGAGGGCAAACAGCTATTTTTCCTTTATCTGAAAGTGCAACAGGCTCATTATTTTAAATAAAATATGTGAATTGTTTTAGTATAGCAAATAATAGACATATACAAAATATATCTTTGATATATACAAAACACATCTTTGAAATCCTCAGTAATTTCAGAGTAAGAGTCTTCAAACTTAAACATTTGGGAAGTACTTCTCTATATCAAAGAAAGGTATAAGATAATTACCTGCATTTATCAAATGTAAAAATGTAAGTTTAAGTATGAGTTTTTCATGAAAAATACATTTTCAACAGAATATGACTATCTTTTGCTGATCGCTATTACATTGAATATCTTCTCCTAGGGATGGCAAGTAAAGTCCAAACAATCCACTCATCTGTTTTCAAATCCAACCTCAACAAACACTCTAGGCCTTTCTTTCTGGCTTGCAGATGACCTTCATGTCCTCACATGGCCTGTTCTCTGCTCCCTAAAATCTCTGGTTTTCGTCTTACATGGTCACCAATCCTAATAGGGAAGGACCTATCTCCAAATGTAGTCACTTGGGTTCGACCTACCCATATGACCTCATTTAACAATTACCTCTTTAAAGGTTCTATTTCAAATATGGGGTCATGTTTTGGGGTTTATTGGCTTGGTACTTCCAGGTATGAATTTTAGATAAATATAATTCAGTCCACAACACCATGGTAAGAAAAATTAAGCTCTTCCATGGTGAGTTCTAATGACTTATTTATCTTTTACACTCTATTTTACTACCTAAGTCAAGATCACACAAAAGCCCTTTCCGTTTACGTAACTCAAGTTCATCACTTTACTAATTTCAGGTAAAGGGAGGTCGAGTCATTCATCTAAGGTCACACAGAACATTAGACAATCCAAAGAAGTTATTTTTTTTTAATTTTTAAAGAGAGGTTTTTTTCAACATTTTGGAAAGCTTGCAATGATTAAGGCAACATTAAGGACTGCTTGAAATGATTGTTTCAATCATCGTGGCCAAAATACCTGCACTTTTATTTAGGTGTGTGCACACAATCAAGGGAGAACTGCATGGGTTTCTTATATGTGGGTGTGCCTACACTGAGGTACACCTATGTTCAAACAACCCTTGCTCAGGGTTTGAAATGACACTTTGATGGCAGAAAAGCAGTAAAAACATAATATAAAGAAACCTTATGTTGTATGATCTGTTGGAAAGAAACTGCCAAGACTACCACTCTCTTAGGCCCTGCTAACAAGTTACAGTCTAGTTAAAAAGGCTAAGAGGGCAGAAGAGGGTGAAAGGCCACCAATGCCCAAGATTTTTCCACACAACAGCCAAGAGGCCCCAGGTGTCTTCAATATTAGACAGGCGCAACCCCCTCATCCCCCTACCCGCCACCATGCACAGCTGAAGATCAGTTACTGGTATCCTTAGGGGAGTGAGTGCCTCACTTGGACCCACTGCTCTTTGGGAAAACAAATGTAAGGCTTCTGGATGTGAATGAGTACAAAGTGAGTGGAGATTCACAGAACTTGCCTAATTTTATTAGTCAAATCCACCCCCCTCCTTTTTTTTTTCCTTCATTCCCAGCATTTGATGGTTGGGAGAAGCATTTCATGACACTTGGAAATACACACTTCAGATTTCAGTGTCCATAGTTTCATTCAGACATCATACTCACTCATTTACACACCATCCAGGGCTTCTTTCCTCCCACAGTGGCAGAATGAAGTCATTGTGACAGAAACGGCACAGCCCACAAAACTTCACATGTTTATCATCTGTCCCTTTACAAGACAGTTGGTAAACATCTGATCCTAGCTTCACGCAGTATATTAAGCTCACACTTCAGACTGTCTTATCTTCGCAAACTTCAACACTGGAAAAGTTAATGATTCTGCAAAGCATCCGGCTATTGGTTGACTTTAGAGTTCTGTACAACGCGCTAAACTAGAAAAATTTTATAATTCCAAATCCTGCTGAGAGACGCCAGGCCACAGCGACTCCAAACCAAAAAGCCTCTTAAGTGAGAGAAAGGCCTTAGAGCGCTGACTGCCTTCCAGGTGAGCACAGCAGCTCCGCGCCCGAAGTCCTGCCGAGCTCAGACTATTTATTATGACTGCATGGAAGTTGTAAGGAAAATGGATTAGATGCCAAGCAGTCTAATCCCCCCCCCCACCTTGTTCTAGGAGATACTTCAAAATAACGCTGGGCAGCAATTCTTTCCTCTGAGCTCTTCCTGCAGTGTAACTATCGCCGTGGTTCAAACTAATAAAACGAAATAAATACTCCAGAAACCAAACAGGGCTGTTTACAGAGGACACTGGTCAACGGACCTACTCGCAAGAGTCTCCAGAAGCTTGAAAAGAGAAAAATGTGGACCTACCTCCTCTCTGTAGTTCCTGAGGACAATTCTCGATGAGAAGGACGGACGACTGTTTCTTTCTGCTGATATTCGGGATCCTGCAATGACAATTATCTTCGCTTAGCAGTCTTCAACAGCACAAAGCAAAAAAAGAAATTAAAGTCCGTTTTATTATGGAGTCTCTGCCTGCTTCTTCACAGCACCTCTCGCCCATAACAAACGGGCATCCTCTCTGAGGAGAAACCACCCAGAGCGCCTTTGCTGAATGTTGTTTCGACCTCAAGCCTTCTCCAGAGATGTTAACATGTTTATCATCTGTTTTCTTTACAAAAAAGTGGGTAAACATCTGATCCCAACTTCATGAAGTATATTGAGCTCACGCTTCAGATAGTCGTCTCTTCGCAAACTTCAACGTGGGAAACCTTAATGATTCCGCAAAACGGACGGCTCTTGGCTGAGTTTAGAGTTCTGTACAACATGCTAAAGCAGGAAAAATTTAGAATTCCAAATCCTGCTGAGAGACGCCAGAACACAGCGACTCCAAACCAAGATCCTCTAAAGTGAGAGAAGCCAGCGAGGAGCACGAGCCTGCGCGCGCTGAGCTTTATAGGCTCACGGGAGCGCGCAGGCGCGTCAGCCTCACACAGGTGCAGCCCATCATTATAACGGCGCCTCCGAGGCCGGGCGGGCCTGGACCAGGTGAAGGTCATTTGGAGAGCGGTTCGGCTAAAACCCAGACCCACGGAGATTTAAAACATGAAAAAAAAAAGGACACCTAGGATTGTTTTGGTTTCTCCATTATCCACAGGACAAACTGACATACGTCTAGTAACTGCCCAGGTCATCTTAGACAAATAAGACAATGACTTCAAACCCTAGTTTATCCTTAAAATATAAGTCTTAGGGTGTTAAATTGTCTTTTATTCAGAGGTCTATTTTGACTTTATTTCCTTCTGGTAAGTAAAATAATTTGTCTCATGGAGTCTCTTTGTTCAAAGAGAAACAACTAGGGTTTCCAGATTAATATGTAGGACACTCAGCTAAATCTGAATTTTAGATAAGCAGCAGATATATTTTTAGTATAATTATGTCCCAAATATAAGTATATCCCAACTAATGCTTGGAAAATATGTATACTAACAATATTTGAAATTCAAATAAAACTTTCCTGTAGTGGTGGTGGTGGTGGTGTTTGTTTGCTTGGACAATCCTAGGAGAAATTTTATTTCAAAATACTTGGTTGACAAGTAGTAGGACAAGTTTGAAGGCTGTTGTTCCTAATCTTGAAAGGTAAAAGTTCTTAATGCTTTGGAAGAGGAAAAAAAAATGCCTTTAATCCTCAGTTCTCCAACCTGTGAAACATGAGTGTGATATTTAAATGTTGCATGGATCTGCACCATTAAAAGGAATGATAGTTCAGTTATCAAAATAAGCTTTAACTGCAACAGCCTTGGTTTTATAACATCCTTAAACTGCTTGTGTATATTTCTTACTGATTAGTGAAATTAGTTTATAATACATAAAAACATATAAGTGAATTAAATGAGCAAAAATTGGGAGCTTTCAGTTCCACCCTTTGAGGTTATCATGACCTATGAGGTATAGCTCAGCAATTCAATAATGATAAGGCATTGTCTCTCCAGCTTTGTGCATTTTCTTTACCAAACAAATCAATTTAAAACTCGACACTCTAGCACCCCATCATTTCAATGCAGGGGGTGGGGGGAGATGGAGAGGGATTCAAACCAACTAATCCAATTGTTTTCTCAAGATACAGACTTCTTAAGTGTTGCCTCAGACTCTGCCTGACCTCTTGAACTCACAGAGGGGAAATTAAGGCAGAAAAACCTAGCTGTTTAAATTGCAGCAGCTTCAGGACTTGGTAAGATTTAATCTCTAAGGTTCCCTACGGCAAATAAGGTTGAGCAAAATAACCAGAGAGTAACATGTTGAAGAATGGTTTATTTTTAAGGACTGAAAATGACCCCAAACACCAAGCATTTAGGAGGGAAGAAGCCATAGAAGTTCAAGGTTTTCATATTAAGTTACCAAAGCATAGTGACAGAGACAAGTCAACACATCAAGGAAAGGTGAGATGAGTGCAAAGAATCAACAATACTGAGATAATTGGATACAAGGAATCTTTTATCTTGGATAATTTTACCCAAGGATACCATGGTGGACATAATATCATACCTACCTCAGAGTTACTTTCATCAGCACTGGATCAGCCACTGTGTCTATTTCCTAATATGATTGATTAGCTTGAGCCAACCAAATAGGAATTATTTCCCTCTAGGGAGTTCCCTGAATGTTCAACCCAGGAAGCCTCACTGAAGTTAACCCCGCTCAGTCTAATCCCCTGAGTTTGCCATGGTAGGTATAAAGCCTGGATTCTCTTGGGGAAGGCCTTCAAAACATGTGTGTTAATTTTCACATCTGTAAAATCCTTCTAATTTTCACACTTCCAAAATTTTGCTAAGTCATTTCAAATAACTAATGGAAACCAATATATAAATATATGTGATGAATGAAATTCTAAAATTTTGTGCATATTCAAGAATCATTTGGGGTAACTTGTTAGAAAGGCAGACTGTCTCTATTCCAGAGACATATAATACTCCTGAGGCACAAAATAATAATTTTGTGCTGTGAACAATGTAATGTGTTAAGCACTAAAAATTCAGAAATATAAATATAATATAACCTTTGAAAAGTTTAGCATCACTTGAGCATTTTATTTCTCAGAGCAGACTATAGGGGACAAGTATTAGTACCACATTACATAAGAAAAATAGGGGGACCAAAAAGATCACAAAATAGACAGATTGCTAATATGTGCAGAAGTCTAGTCCACAGACAGGCAAATTTCTTAGTTATTTCTCCCATCTCTTCTCCAACTACTTTCCTCCTAGATCCCTCCATTATGTCACTGTGACTATCCACTGAACCTATTAGAGCTTACCTGCCACAGGACTTTTACTTCTTTTCTCTATACCTGCAGCATTCTCCCCCATTTTCTCTTGACTCACTCCTTTACTACCTTCACTCTTCTATAAGTATCACCTTCTCAGTGAGACAGTTCCTGACCATATTATTTAAAAGTACAATCTTCTCCCTCATAATACCATCCACCCTCCCTGTCCTCCATCCATTCAAACCATGATTTTTAATGGGTACAGTGAAGACACTCCATCTTACAAGCCCTGTGTGCAGCACACTCATCACTCTGAGTGATTTATGTCTGTATACACAATCATTTCTTGCTAAATTCTCCTGCTAGAACAGTGGTTTTCAAATCTTAGCACTATCACAATCACCGGAAGGAAGTTGTAAAACAGATATCTCATACCCACCCAAGGATTTGATTGTAGTGATGCTAACAGTACAGATCTAGCAAATCATTTTGAACAGTTTTGCCCTAAGGCACTGATTCTCATCTGGTATTATCTTGCCACCCCTTCTCCTACCCTAAACAGTTTACATTATCTGGAATAAACTGGGTATAGGAGCTATATGTGAGAGGCCAAGAGAGATGCTGAAAATCCTACAGTGCACAGGACAACCCCCTCCCCCACAAATAATTATCCAGCCCAAAATGTCAATAGTGCTGAGACTGAAGAAACCTGGTTCTAGAAAAAATCTTCTCAAACACTTCCATGCATCAACATCTAGAAGGATTGTTAGAATTCATACTGTGGGACTATAGTCCCAGATTTTCTGATTTGTTAGGTAATTCCCAGGTAGGACCTGAAATTTTACATGTCTAGTAAGTTACTAAGTAAAGGAAGGTCCTTGACCTACAGCCTATACTTAGGAAACAATTTAGTAAAACAAATGCTCCATAAAGCACAGGTCTCAGTCTTGTACTCAGTTATTTTCCTCAGTAAAAGAATGTAGCATGGTATAATCACTCAAGTTCCTAATTTTTCAATAACAAAGATTCCGACACCTGAGAGACTTGCCTGAAGACTGGGAAGCAACTGTCAGTGGTTCAGTTTGTTGTTTGGCAGCAGCTTCAAGGGCCCTTCTATTTTTACTGACTTTTTAGACTATTTACTACCAACCAAAGAAGTCTGATGCGGTTCCTGCACTAGCAGCCAGGAGGCCCATCACTGTCTGGCCTGGGTGATGCTCAGGCTACATCTGCACAGCAAGAAGGAAACCAAATGCCAAATGCAAGTCCCTGCATTTTCTGTTTCTTTAAGATGGAACTTCCTGGTCCTATGACTACTGGTGAAGAAATTCCCATATTCAAAAAAGTAAAGTCAGGGAATTTGCACACACACATGCCTGCTTGCACACATACACACTCAGGTCTTAGATCTGATGTGTGGGTGAGGTCCCCAGCATCTAGGACAATGGGACTGGATGTGTCATGAATATAATGGCGCTTCCAACAGCACATCTACAGAAGTTGTTCTCTCACTTTAAGATAGTATCTGCCAGGTGCTACCAATTACCTCTCCTTACATCATTTTCTGGGGGAATATTAAATTCAGTTCCTTTTATCCTGTGCCCAAGGCCATCAGTGAAGCAGTTGATCTTCATAATTCAAACATGTCTGATATCTTAGATTCAATTGCCCTGTTTAAGACAGGCATTTAATGAAGAACGGGTGAATGAGAAGTTTAATGGCTAAAGTGAAGACACTCCATCTTACAAATCTCTTTTTACTCATGTGGAATCATCAGCCAGTGTTATTGATTTGCATTTACTGACTGGACTTTCTATTGTTTTCAGATGTTAGTATCCTCAGCCTGTGCCTGCAGGCTATTAGTTTCAGGGTGTAGGGTAAGGAAAAATGTCAGGCTTTTCTGCCCTCCTGCCATTAGGATAGATGATGGAACCCTGCGGTCTTGAGTGCATGCCTGATGGCGGGCACCTGGAATAGGGTGTGGGCATAGGTAGATGGGATTCGACTGGGCTTTTAAGGGCGGCGGGCGTCAAGGGGATGCCAGCAGAGGCCGAAAAGAAGCTGAAAGAGAAGCCGAGAGAGAAGCAAAAAAGCAGAAGCAGAGATCACCGGAGAGCCCAGAGAGAGTGAAGATTTGCTGGGGCTGGGAGGCCTGCCAGCCTCCCGGCACCCCAGCACCCT